ATATCCTGCCCTTCTCCTTACGGACTCAGGGCGGCTGACAATTGAATAAAATACTAACATATATACATATACTTAATTAAAATTTGATTAAAACGAAATATTTAAATATGTCCAATTTAAAAGTAATTAAAACCCCCTTTAAAATCCCTCAGGCCAGTCCCGCTAGTTGGAACAGCCACGTCTTGAGGGCGCGGCGGAAAGAAGGGAGATCAGGGATCACCCTGATCTCTGGGGGCAGTTCGTTCCAGAGGGTGGGGGCTCCCACAGAGAAGGCCCTCCCCCTTGGGGTCGCCAGCCGGCACTGTCTGGCTGACGGCACTCTAGGTTTTTGATTGCCCTTTTCTTGGGTTTGAGTTGAACAACTGACCTAAGCTGCTGCTTTTCAAGTGTGTTTTGTGAAAAACCTCATCTTTGGATCTTAGCTGTTTTGGTTGAGGATTCTAGAAGTTACAACTGAATGCCTATTGTCGGCAAAACCTCTAGCCCAGGGGTAGGCAACCTTGGCTCTTTTATGATTCGTGAATTTTGATTAAGTGACCATGGGGATGTTGCAACAGTTCTAAGAGTGAAAAATGGTCATAAGTCACGTTTTTCGGTGCCCTTGTAACTTTGAATGGTCTCTAAATGCACTGTTATACATGGAGGACCACCTGTATATGTTTACTCTTTTGCCATCTTCTCATCATACACTAAATAAATACATAATAATCCATATGCATTTTTCTTACCCGTGGCACAGGTACATTATCCTGTCCTGATTTGAAAAAAGCCCGGTTACAGAGGCTCACCACTTTGCACAGAGCTCTCCATGTCTCCGAGGACTGATCAAAACTTTGCCCTGTAAAGCAGAACAAGAAGCAATGGGCAGCAATGGGGCAAGTTTCCCACATACAGTATTAACCTTGTGAACTCTAAAGCTTCCTCCTTCCATTATGTATTCAAGCTGGACAGCGATTAATATTTATATGTTACTTATATGTAAGGGTGTAGGTCTATACATATGTTGTATACAGTATATTTTTAAATGTGTGTTCTGTATGTTTACATTTTGAGAGCAAGCAACTAAATTTCATTTTTAATGTGTGCCGTTGTGCCCACAGGGGAAAAAAATGACAATAAAGGTTATCATCATCATCATCACATTGTAAGCTTAGGATGGGCAACATGGTGCCCATCATTACTAACTGTCTCTCTGCTTGTTGCCAGACTTGCTGATGATTGCAAATACCTGACTGGTCTTCCGTAGTGTCTGCTGTGTGAATTTGGTTGTCGAACCAAAGATGCGAGACCGTCATTCGATTCTGGGTGAGTGTCCCAGTTTTATCCGAGCAGATGACCGATGTAGAGCCCAGCGTTTCAACCGCTTCCAGATTCTTGACCACGCAGTTCTTCCTGGCCAGTCGCTTGGCTGTGAGAGACAGGCAGACCTATCCAAGGAGAACGAGAGGGAGGTGGGGTGAGAAGAGGGGATAGGAAGCAAGTGAGGTCCAGTATTCGGAACTTGGGATAACTAAAGTCAAGTTAGGTTTGAGGGCATTAAGCCATTTCTTCAGGATTGACCCCACTCCCAATCTTATGCTTCTGGCTGGCTGGAATTATGGGAAAAGTGGTGCAGAATATCCTTCCCATGTTGGGAAGGATAACTTAGTTCATTCTTTTCTAAGTCTTTGAACTGTGGAAGATATTTTGTTACTTGAGAGGCTTCCTGGTGGAGGTGTCTATGGAGATTCTCCATCCTCCAGGTCGTGGTTGTCCCAAGGGTGCTTTTTCAAAAGGCAACTGGACTTTGTTTTTCCTGAAGACATTTTGCTTCTCATCCAAGAAACTTCTTCTGTTCTGACTGAATGGTGGAGAATGGAAGGATTTATTTCCTTGCAGTCATCTGGTCGTTAGTCCTCTTCCTTCAACAGAGGGCGAGGGATACGACACCACCTATCTCCTGTTTTCAATACAGTCCTTTCAGCAGTTCCAAGAAAAAAACCCAAGTGGCCTCAACGACTCTCAGAAAGAGTGCTAATGACCAGATGACTGCAAGGAATATAAACCTTTCCATTCTCCACCATTCAGTCAGAACTCAAGAACTTCTGGGATGAAAAGCGAAACGTCTTCAAGGAAAAACAAAGTCCAATTGCTTTTTGAAAAGGTGCCTGTGGAACTTCCTGGTGGAGATGCCAGGGAGTGATCACAGTACCTCCTTCATACAAAGCAACATGTGAAGATGTTATGGAAAGAACGGGGGGGGGGGGGAATACTCAGAAAGAGCTCAAGCTGCTTGTGTGTGACACTTACTGTGACCGTTGCTAGAAGACCCTCGGGGACATAAGCCACCACAATTGCCATGAAAAAGACCATGGCCCTGAGGAAGGGATAGCCGATCACCATGGCAACAACAAAGAAGGTGGCACCAAAGAAAATGGCCAAGCCAGCTATGATGTCCACAAAATGCTCAATCTCAATAGCAATGGGTGTCTTCTCATTCTCCACTCCTGAAGCCAGGCTGGCGATGCGCCCAATGATGGTGCGGTCCCCGGTGTTAATGATGATGCCAGTGGCCACTCCTGATAAAGAAGAAGGGAAGAGCTAGACCAGTGGTGGCGAACCTATGACACGGGTGCCAGAGGCGGCACTCAGAGCCCTCTCTGTGGGCACGCGCGCCGTCGCCCCAGTCTTAGGCCTTCAGCTGGGTTTTATAAAACCTTTTCGCTTTAGGCCTCCGCCACCGTGTACAACAAAAAAAAAAGATTCAATCAATCAGTCAATTTCAACTTCTTGCAGGGGAAAAAAAAAGATCTTGCAAAGTTGGAATTTGAATTTTGAATTTTTGAATTTGAACTTTATTAAATTTATACCCCGCCCTTCTCCCGGAGGACTCAGGGCGGCTTACAGCCAGTTTAAAAACAATAATACAATACCATACAAAATTTAAAAATAATTAAAAATAAATATTTGAATAGGCCGCTTCTACTAAAATTTTGTTAAAACCAATTAAAATACCCCTAGGCCAGTCCTGCCCGCTGAAATAACCAAGTCTTGAGGGCGCGGCGGAAGGAGGGGAGATCCGGAATCACCCGGATCTCTGGGGGCAGCTCGTTCCAGAGGAATTGATTGATTGAACTTTTTAGTCCCACCCAGTCTGCCGTTACCACTGCAGCCACGCCCACCCAATGGGCCACACCCAGCCAATGGGCCACACCCAGCCAATGGGCCACGCCCACCCGACACCCGACGATGCATAGGTGGGTTTTGGGTTGCAGTTTGGGCACTCGGTCTCTAAAAGGTTCGCCATCACTGAGCTAGATGCTTTCAGAGGACAACCAGTGTGCCCCCTCCAGAAACCAACGCTTCCTACCTTCTAAGCACATGGTTGAGAAGAAGGCGATGTTCCTTGTTTCTAAGGGGCTCTCATGGGTGCAGTCTGGGGCACGGGTTTGAGGTTCTGATTCCCCTGTCAAAGAGGAATTATCCACCTAGAATAAAGGAGGGAAGAAAGAAAGGAGGTTTCCCATGTGCATTGCGCCATAATTCCATGGAACTCTGTAGGCACAACTCTTGATAGGGCGATAACTGCCCACGGCTGGACGCGTTTCAACTCTGAAATTTACATGGTGCATTTTCTTTCTTATATTATTAAAATACACGCATGCGCAGGAGAGGGGAGCATGTTTTTTTTACAACTGTTTTCCAGATTGGAATCATTTTTGAGTTTCAGATTGATCTGAATAATTAGTGTTTCCTGATCTTGGTAACTTCCAAGTATGTAGACTTCAACTCCCAGAATTCTCTTTAACGGCCATCCTGGCTGGGGAATTCTGGCATTTAAAGTCAACAAGCCTGGAAATACACTAAGTACTTAGAAATTAACGTGTTTTAGAACTGCTATATATTGCAGGACAGAATGGATAGTATGACTTTAACTTGTATGTTTCATAATGGAATGGTGACTTGAACATGGAACTACCAAGTCCTAAGGCAGGGGTCTTCAAACTTGGCCCTTTTATGACTTGTGGACTTCAACTCCCAGAATTCCTCAGCCAGGCACGCGTGCCTGGCTGAGGAATTCTGGGAGTTGAAGTCCACAAGTCATAAAAGGGCCAAGTTTGAAGACCCCTGTCTTAAGATAATGCAGTAGTCACTAGGTTGCTTAGACCAAAACTACATGTTACATAGTGGCCTAGAGACAGTCTGAAGCACTTCCTCCTTCTACATGGGATGTAGGAGTGGACATGTTTTTCCTTCACTTCTGCATTTGGGTTGCAACTAGACTGTTGAAATAGTAATGCTGTGTCAGAGATCACACAAAAAACGTGCAAGGAACTCACTAGTTCCTTTCTCTCTTCCAGCGAAACAAAAGGGCCAAACAGCAAACTTTCTGGAGTGGGGAGAAGGTGATGTCATATTTATTGGAACAACCTTCTTCATTGTCTAGGTACCTTGCATCCTTGCCCAGTGATGATCCTGATGTCTGCTGGGACTCGGTCTCCCCCTTTGATCTCTACCAGGTCACCCACCACCAGCTGATTAGCATTGATCTGGAACTTGTCACCGTCTCGAATCACCGTGGCTTGCTGCGTTTGGGAAGAAAAGAAAAAACGAACTTGCATTTGGATTTACAGCATTCTTTTCTTCCCATAAACCCCCCTCCCCGGAATCAAAACGAAACAAAAATCCCAGACAGTCAAAGAATTTGTTGTTTTCAGATGCATAGTGAGGCTACTGAGAGTCATTTGTACCTGCGGCACAAGATTCTTGAAACTGGCAATGATGTTTGTGCTCTTAAATTCTTGATAGTAACCGAAGCAGCCAGTCACAACCACGACAGCGATAAGAGCAATGGCCAAGTATAACTAAAAGAAGAAGAAAAAAATATGCCAGTGTTTGTGTTGTCACAGCTGCACTGCTTCAGTTAACACCTGCAGACATCACATTTATTATACAGCTCCTCCTCATCTAGGGACTGCCTTGTTTAGCAACCATTCACAAACACAGCAATAATAAACAGTAGTAAATATTCGTTTTCCGATCAATATTCCCATTTGCAGCTGACTAAAAAAGCGCTCAGTGTGAAAATGATTGTTTCAGGCAAAAGCTGTGAGCTGGGGAGGGTTCTAACCAACTAATTTAAGGTCCCAGCTGAGCTTGTTACCCTGCACTTTTTAGAGAAACCTGGTATTACCTAGAAAAGCAGCTCAAGGAGAGAGAGCTTGCTTAAACAATCTCTCTGCTTGCTTAACAACAAAGTTGCTAGACCTGATTGTGGTTGCTAAAGGAGGAGAGGGTGTACTAGAAAATAGCCCTAGGTCAGGGGTAAGCAACCTTGACTCTTTTATGACTCGTGGACTTCAACTCCCAGAATTCCTGAGCCAGCCATGCTGAGGAGAAAGGGAGAGATTTCCATGCTGAGCCATATTGGCTCAGGAATTCTGGGAGTTGAAGTCCACAAGTCATAAAAGAGCCAAGGTTGCCTACCCCTACCTTAGGTCTTTGAGGTTTAGGGTTTAGGCTGCAAAAATCTAGATGGCCATTAGATGGCAGCAAACAGCTCTCTGTAACTATTTAGGTATCAGGTGAATTTTTCCAGCCCAGATCTGGTAACCAGGCAGCAGCTCTACTTTGCTCTGCTCAATTTGTCTATTGCTAGTGATCCAGCATCCTTCAAGGTATATAATTAAATCATTATATTAAAAACCTAGAGAAGAAACAGTTAATTCTGGCCCTGCCCACCTGAGCCTAAGCCCCACCCACTTTGCATCATCATTCTATCTCCTATGGCAGCTCTCCTCCCGGTGACCCCCAGCTGACTGTCTGCTTCTGCTGTGGGCACTTACATCATCCGCACTGGTAAGATCTCCTTGGCTACACTGGATGCCAAAGGCGATGAGACAGATGGCAGCCGCCACCCACATGAGGCACTGCAGCCCCCCAGCCAGCTGACGCGCAAACTTCACGTACTCCGGAGTGCCTTTGGGGGGCTTCAGTTCATTGGGGCCATCACGAAGGAGAATCTCTCCGGCCACTGTGCTGGTCAGACCCTGAAAGCAGATAGAATAGAGTAGAATAATAGACTGGACTGGACTGGACTGGACTGGACTGGACTGGACTGGACTAGAATAGAATAGAATAGAATAGAATAGAATAGAATAGAATAGAATAATACACTGGACTGGACTGGACTGGACTGGACTGGACTAGACTAGACTAGACTAGACTAGACTAGACTAGACTAGACTAGACTAGAATAGAATAGAATAGAATAGAATAGAATAGAATAATAGACTGGACTGGACTGGACTGGACTAGACTAGACTAGACTAGACTAGACTAGACTAGACTAGAATAGAATAGAATAGAATAGAATAGAATAGAATAGAATAGAATAGAATAGAACTGGAAGGGACCTTGGAGGTCTTCTAATCCAGCCCCCTGCTCAAGCAGAAAAACCTATACTGTCTCAGACAGGTAAATGTCTAGTCTCTTCTTAAAAATCTCCAGTGAGATATAAATATAATATATAATATAATATATAAATATAATAACAAACCAGTAATGACTCTTAGAGATTTGTCTACCCCGGATACAATGAAAGTGGCTATCAGTTTAGGGCAGGCCTATTCCTCATGTACCGCTTCTTTTCAACGCTAGATGGCAACTGTACTTTCAAGGCTGCAGAAGGGGTTATGATGAACTATGAAAACATATGTTCCTTTCAGCTTGTCCCTAGCATCCGTTTTGTCAAAGGGCTTCACCTTCTTGATGTTGGTCCGGTATTTCATCTCCAACTCTTCTATAGACAGCTGATGATCATTCTAAAAGGAGGAGAGACCCGAGATAAGAATGTGATTTCAGTGGATGGAGAGATGTTGTCTTTTAGGCAAGACCCCCCCCCTCGTCATGCAATGTTCTTTCCTGCTGTTTTGCATAAAAAAATAAGCATAGTTAACAAATATTTCCTCAGACAAATGAGATAAACTCGCAAAATGAAAGCATAGAATGACTTAAACATTCCGGATAAGTGGGAATTGATTCCGGATGCCAGGAGATTAAATTCCAGACACAAAGCATATCGGGGTTGAAGGCAGAGAGAAGCAAAGAATGTATTACGGATGAAAAAAAAAAAGCAATTTAGTTTATATATGTAATTGCACACACCCAGTATTAAACAGTAGTATAATTTATTACATTGTCTCAGAAAACCGAGGAGGCACAGTATCAAACAGAATTTGCAGCTCTAATATTTGCATGCCAAAATGTTTAGGAAATAAAGAATTTCAAATGAGGCAATCTCTGTTATTAGAGAGGTTTGAGGAGAGGTTAAATTATGAATTATGAAATGGATTAGACTACTAATGATATCTGTTGGAATTAACATTGCTTTTCTTCATATGAACAAGGCTCTGAAACCATTACTTATCATTTGCTGAAATTTTCTGAAGACCAGTACTTTTAGAGAATGAAGTTGTCTCTCCAAAAATTAGTGGAAAAAACAACATTCCTTCCTTGACGTTCAGAGAGAAAATTACATTTTGTTTTGGAGAAGAATTCCTTCCCTTAAAACTGATATAATTTCATTAAATGTACTCTTTAGTTTCAAATGGTTTCCAGATTAAGAAACAAAAGAATATTGCAATTCTTCCTGTTTGTGACTTTCCTAATTTTTGTGTGCCAAAATCTGTACACAGATCTTCTGAGGGGAGCTTTGAATGCAAATTTCCTTTAGTGTCAGTTATTGATTATTTTTAATGTTTGCTTTCAGATTCCAAATTTTGAAGGAGCTTAAGAGGGCGTAAGTGGATATAAAGTGCCCCTTGTTAAATCAATTATAGCCTTGTGACATCACTGCCTTGCATCTCTTATTGTTCATAGGAGAGTGAGGATAATGTCATAATGTTGAACCTGGGTTCATGGATTACGAATATGTTTTATGGATGAAGAATTTATTTCTTTTTGGCTGCTCTCTCACACTTGACTAAACTTAATTCTTTTTTTTTTTTTTGCTGAAAGTTGATATGCTTAACAAGATAGACATTTGGGGCAACACTGTGCATTGTTGTATTGCACAACTGGGACCAAAATTTCTGTTGCTAGGCTAGATGGTTGTTAAGTGCATGATTTACAACCATTTTTGTTATGGCTGTTACGTAAATCAATGCAGTTGTTAAGGGAATCATGTCATTAAGCAAATCCAACTTCCCCCATTGATTTTGCTTGTAAGAAGCTAGCTGAGAAGATCACAAATGTCAATCAAATGACCCTGGGATGCTCCAATAGTCATAAATAAATGCTGGTTGCCAAGTGCCTGAATTTTGATCATGTAACTGTGCAACCGTCGTAAGTATGAGGATCACTCAGAAGTCATGTTTTCAGTTCTGTTGCAACTTTGAATGATTGCTAAACAAATGTTTGTAAGTTGAAGACTTATAATGTATATTAACTTTCAGTAAAAAAATAATTATGTTTAGCCTAGTGTGATGTGACTAGTTTTATGTTTAAGTGTGATAAGCAAACTGGGTTAACACTGGGTTAGTTCAATAATCAGCTGTCAAATTAATCGAATAGGCAAGCTGCCTATTTCAACTATGGATATGACAATGTCTAAATCCATAGAGAAATCTTATTTTTTCCATTCTGGCCCTGTGGCTTACCACATCCATTTCTTTCTTCATATTCTCTAACTTCTCTTTTTTCTCCAACGCTTTGTTTTTCTTCTTCTTCTTAATCTTCACATCCATTTCCCCATCGTACTTCTCCATCTCCACCGAGTACATTTCGTACTTCTCCTAGCGGGGCAAAAAAGTCAAAGAGAAAGATGTCTGTCAACTCAAATAGCCATTAATTATTATTAATTATTAATTAATTATTATTAATTAAGATGTCACTATATTCTTTTGGGATTAAAATTAAACCAAATGGCTAGCAATAGCATTGAAAATATATTGTTTCAAAGGCTCTTTTCCTTAGTTATTTTTCCTTTGAAAGTGGCTGAAGGTAATAGAAGAATGATGTCCACACTGGTCGTAGTGGTAGTGGTAGTGTGTGTTTGTGTGTGTCAAAAAGTCAATTGTTGTTAGCAACTGCCATCTTGACCATTTGGCCCCCCTCACAGGTCTGGGAATTGCCTTAGAACCCCAACGCTTGACACGTTTGCTTAAACAAAATTATCTTTATCAAATATAATCAACAAACTGATTTGAAATCAATGTTGATCTACCATTTGGCATCGAAGGAACGGGATTAATTGATAGATGATTCGGTCACCTTTACTAAGACTGAGTTGTTTACAGCAGGGCTTTTCAACCTTTTCACCCATTGTACCACTTTTAGGATATGGGAATATCCGACTACCACCAGTCGCCTAGCAAGGTGTCAAAAACTTGATGACCAAAAAAAAAAAAAAAGGAAAAAAGTGATAAAGTACAAGTAGTCCTCGACTTACAACAGTTCGCTTAGTGACTGTTTGAAGTTACAATGGCACTGAAAAAAGTGCCCCCCAAGCCACAGCCGAGCAAGACACCTGTCTGCCCACCCGGCAGCGCTCTTCCTCCTGTCTGAGGTTTTCATTGTTGTGAGCATTTCTGTTGAGGATTGGCAGCGGGGGTGGAGTGGGGGGTGTTTGGTTTTTATTCCCCCCGTCTGCTGGGAGGTTGCAGCAGGTTTTGGTCACTTCACATGACCCTGGGACACTGTGACCGTCATAAATATGAATCAGTTGCCAAGCATCTGAATGTAAATCACAAGACCCTGCTGCAACATTCCAACTGATTGGCGCTTCTTCAGGGCTCAGCAGAAGTGCCAGGATCAGCCCCGAGCTCCAGCTGGAGCCTGGCGCTGATCCTGGCACTTCCGCTGAGCCTTGACAGCCCTGCAGCTCCAGCCATCTCTCGCTCAGGCTTGTGCGGTGCTGCCACCGGTTCAGCTCATTCCCCTCCCCTGCTACCACTTTTCTAGGATGTTCGCGTACTTCGCGCCAGGTGCCAATGTACCACAGGTGGTACCCGTACCACTGGTTGAAAAGCCCTGGTTTACAGTACACACAAGTACAGTACACACAAGCACTTGTTGAGTTGTGCTTTAGAATAAAGCTAATAATTCTAGGAACAGAAGAGGGGAATTTTACGAAGGGCTCTTTTACTCTGCAATTTTACGTCGCTAATAGTGGGTCTAAGCTTGAGAGTCCCACAGTCATCCATCACTTGTGGATAACAGTTTCGGCATTTTTCTAGTTCCACATTTTTTTTTTAAACAGATGTGGAACTGAACAGAATGATATTTTGGGTGTTTTCCTCTTGGTGAAATGGAAAATGAGAGCAGTGTGCAATTCCCTGTATTTTGAGACTTTCTGGTATCAGATAGGTTACGTGACTGCTATCCACACAGTTTTGATGAAATGGGAGTTGAATCAGTTCCCTATGGAGGTGTTATTTTTGTTTTGAAGTGATTTATATTTCTCTCCCAGTAGGCCTGTTCTGCTAATGCTGTTTTGAAATTACTCACATTAATGAAAACAATGCCATGCAATTTGATAATATGCACTTGTAAATGAAGGCGAATCTAAGTGTCTCAGGATAATGTTGCAGGATCCAATCTGGGTTGGATCCCGGATCCTGCAATATGCGCTTATTGTAAGCATAAAGCAAAGCCTCACTGCATTTGCCCCACTGCACCCCCTTAGATGTGCCAGGATGAACATCTCCCACATGAGACCCTGAGGGAGAAAACCCAACACTCAGAAATACTGTTACAAATCTCAAATGCAACTCTATAATTCTATCAGTGCCAGAAGGGAGTGAGAAGGAAATACATCTTTTTTCCCCCCTAGAAGCTGTTTATTTATACACTATGGATCGGAACAACCTGCCTCCAGAAGCAGTGAATGCTCCAACACTGGAAGTTTTTAAGAAGAGACTGGACAGCCACTTGTCTGAAATGGTATAGGTTTTCCTGCCTGAGCAGGGGGTTGGACCAGATGACCTCCAAGGCCCCTTCCAACTTTATTTCATCCCTAATGAAAAGTTTCAAAGCTTTGTCCCGGGCAAGCCGTAACTTAGAAAATCTATTCACACAAAGATAATAATAATAATAATAATAATAATAATAATAATAATAATAATAATAATAATAATAATAATAATAATAATAATAATAATAATAATAATAATAATAATAATAAAGTTGGAAGGGACCTTGGAGGTCATCTAGTCCAACCCCCTGCTCAGGCAGGAAACCCTATACCATTTCAGACAATGGCTATTCAGTCTCTTCTTAAAAACTTCCAGTGTTGGAGCATTCACCACTTCTGGAGGCAGGTTGTTCCACTGGTTAATTGTTCTAACTGTCAGGAAGTTTCTCCTTAGTTCTAGGTTGCTTCTCTCCTTGATTAGTTTCCACCCGTTGCTTCTTGTCCTGCCTTCAGGCGCCTTGAAAATAGCTTGACTCCCTCTTCTTTGTGGTAGCCCCTGAGATATCGGAAGGCTGCTATCATGTCCCCCCTCGACCTTCTCTTCATTAAACTAGACATACCCAATTCCAGCAGCCTTTCCTTATATGCTTTAGCCTCCAGTCCCCTAATCATCTTTGTTGCTCTTCTCTGTACTCTTTCTAGAATCTCAACTTCTTTTTTACATCGCGGTGACCAAAACTGGATGCAGTATTCCAAGTGTGGCCTTACCAAGGCATTGTAAAGTGGTATTAATACTTCATGTGATCTTGATTCTATCCCTCTGTTAATGCAGCCCAGCACTGTGTTGGCCTTCTTGGCAGCTGCAGCACACTGCTGGCTCATATTTAAATGATTGTCCACTAGGACTCCGAGGTCCCTGTCACAGTTACTACTATTGAGCAATGTACCCCCTATACTATACCTGTACATTTGGGTTTTCTTGCCTAAATGTAGAACCTTACTTTTTTCACCATTGAATTTCATTTTGTTAGATAGCGCCCAGTGTTCAAGTCTGTCCAGATCCTCCTGTATCCTAAGCCTGTCTTCTGGAGTGTTGGCTATTCCTGCCAGCTTGGTGTCATCTGCAAATTTGATGATTTCCCCATCTATCCCCTCGTCCAAATCGTTGATGAANGTCTAGGCTGGACAGGTGCTCACTTACCGTTTTCTTGCCTATCTTAACTTGCGTTTCTATTCTGTTTTTTATGGCACTATTTTTGGTAGGTTGGTCTGTTTTTTCCCTTTGTGTAAAGACAGATGCAAAAAACGAGTTAAATAGTTCTGCTTTCTCCCTGTTGCTTGTCACCTTCTTGCCACTTTCACCCACTAATGGACCAATCGTTTCCTTCACTTTTTTTCTTGTTTTTTACATATTGAAAGAAGCTTTTTTTGTTATTTTTGACTTTGGTTGCAAGCTTTAGTTCATTTTGAGCCTTAGCTTTTCTCACTTCATCTTATCACCATAACTAGAAACCCTGATAAGAAGGCATGGTCTAATAATGCTGTAATCACACCCTATTCTTTTTTTTTTTTTTTTGCAAAGACCAGGGAAATTCACCTACCCTTCCCTTCTGTGGTTTGCCCACTGACAAATGGATTGGCCAGGACTATGTGAAAATTAATGCTCAAATTCCTTTCACAGTTGGATAAAGAGGGAGACACCCTCTGTACATATTAATTTACTTTTAATCCCTAAGATATTTGTTTGGCTGTCACGGAATGTGGTTTTTTTTAAACTGTACCGAATTTGTTTTACCTAGAGCAGGGGTGTCAAACTCAATTTCATTGAGGGCCGCATCAGCATTGCGGTTGCCCTCAGGGGGCCGGGTGGGTGTGGCCAGGGTGGGTGCAGCCTACTGGATGGGTGTGGCCAGCTCTACATCGTGTCAAGGGTGCCTGTGGGGGTCTGGGCAGGAGTGGGATAGATCTGAGGGTCTTTGGCAGAAGACCAGGGCAAGTGCCAAGGCATGGTCCACTGGAGGAGCCTCGCTGTTCCTCTCAGACCATGCAGGGGGGAGGCTTATGGAGCTAAGACTGAATGCATTTCAGCATGGATGGCCACCACAAAATTGTACATTGGCTCCCAGCTGGCCTGGGCCAGGGCCAAGGCAGAGGGGGCCATTCCCTCACTGTTTCCAGGATGGCTTCGCGGGCCACATGAAACCACTTCGCGGGCCGCATCCGGGCCCCGGACCTTGTGTTTGACATGTCTGACCTAGAGTCAAGAGCACTGAATCTGGGACTGAAAGCTTTTTACGTCTGCCTATAAGGGTTGGGGAGATGTTTTGTTTTGTAAAAACATATAAAAGTGATATGTGAGTTCTTCCTATACTCTGTTCTATTGCTATTTACATGAAAGCTGGGACATGACCACTGAAGTAAAGAC